GAATACGGTATGTGGCTAGATAGCCAGTAGTTATGCATGTATTTAGATTTTACTATATATTTATGAAAATCTATGCATTTAAAATTAGGCGGCTTTGCCGCAGATATAAATAAATAGTCAGTTTTTGAAGTTAAACAGAAGAGTTAGTTAGCCTTGGGTTAAGGCAATAATTACTCTTGGAGTAAGCGGAATGCGACCCGCTAAACTCGTACTTGTTCTCAGTATAGATCGAAAGGTCGGTAACCTAAGTTACGCTTCCTCAAAGCGCAAAGCTACGGCAGCCCCGCTGCAATGAGAACCATCTGTCCCATCACTGGCGCCTGGCTCTAGAACTCCTGATTGTATTCTCAAAGCTGGTGAGCGCCTACCGCTCCCGATCTATTATTTTTCGATTACCGAATCCCAAGACTTAAGATCGGCGGAATTTTTTGTAAACGTGTCTTTTTGAGACAGCTATTCGGATATTTCATGTACCATCCTCGCAGAGGATGCAGTGTTCCACGATGAGATTGTGGGATTAAATACAAGTGCTACCAAGTGGGTGGGGTTGTTGTGCACTTGGAGCCTGCATTAACGAAAACGCAAAGCGGATTGGTTTGTTCGGATCAGTTAAAAGAGCCTCCAAATTTCTTGTACTGTTAGTTTGCTTTTTTATCTCAAGAGTACCTAACTATCTATATAATTATTACTTATACTACTACACCCGTTTTACTATTTCGTATTTCTTTACTGACAATATTTTATGGCATAAATGATATGCAGAACTTTCACATTCGGAAAACCTAACACCTAACCTCTCTTAGAGATGGAAGGATAAAAGAAGCAAGCCAGTCATTTGGCAAAATGGCATCGCGAGCTTTTCGGCAAGCTCACAGCCAGTCGGTTCCGCCAGTCGAATGCGAAGATAATGTAGTGTCTGACAAGCTTAAGCAAAATGAACGCGAGCGACTTGAAATCGAGAGACTGGAATCGCGCATTGCCGAGCAGACTCCAGCCCGCGGCTCACAGCTGGGTGAAGCCGCTTCCTTTGACCTGTTTGCTCTGTCCGAGGCGTCGCGACGTGGTTTAAGGAGCTGTGGATTTTCTGCACCTACAAAAATCCAGATTGGTGCATTGCCCCATGCGCTGGCAGGACGCGATGTTCTGGCGGCAGCTAAAACGGGCTCGGGCAAGACGCTAGCCTTCCTTCTGCCGGTACTTGAGAAACTTTTTCGCCTTCGCTGGAGTGTTGAAGACGGACTTGGAGCACTTATTATTTCGCCTACACGTGAGCTGGCACTACAAATATTTGAAGTGTTGCGTAATGTAGGTAAGGCGCACACCTTCTCGGCAGGTCTAGTTATTGGCGGCAAGAATTTTCGTGAGGAACAGCTTCGGCTTATTCGGATGAATCTACTAGTATGCACACCTGGCAGACTGCTGCAGCATATGGAACAGACGCCTGCATTTGACTCTAGCAATTTGCAGGTGTTGGTATTGGACGAAGCAGACCGAATTCTTGATTTGGGCTTTCAAAAGCAGCTAACGGCTATTTTGGAACACTTGCCACCAGCAGGAGAGCGACAGACGATGCTTTTTTCAGCTACACAGACCAAATCTGTTAAAGATTTGGCGGCGCTGAGTCTGCGCCAACCTGAGTATGTGGCCGTGCACGAACACTCTGCCAATGCCACGCCTAAGGGCCTCCAACAAAGTTACGTAGTCACGCCACTAGAGCGCAAACTGGACGTGCTTTTATCCTTCATAAAATCGCATCTCAAACAAAAGACGATTGTATTCCTGTCCACTTGTCGTCAGGTGCGCTTCATACACAGCGTCTTTTGCAAGCTACAGCCTGGTATCCCGCTCTGTGCTTTACATGGCAAGTACAAGCAAGGTAAGCGTGTTGAGGTATACTATGAATTTCTGAACAAGCCGGCAGCGGTGCTATTCGCAACGGATATTGCTGCCCGAGGTCTAGACTTTCCTCAAGTTGATTGGGTCTTGCAACTCGACTGTCCCGAAGACGCTGCTAACTACATTCACCGTGTTGGTCGTACAGCTCGATATAACAAGCAGGGGAAAGCCTTGATGTGTCTTGTACCGTCGGAAGTGGACGGTATAACGAAGCGCTTAGAGGACGCCAAGGTACCTATTCGTGAAACGAAGCTTAATCCAGCAAAATCTACGAGTTGCCATCAGAAAGTAGCATCTGTTGTGGCTGGTGACAAGGAGATTAAGGCGCTGGCGCAGAAAGCGTTTATGTCGTATGTTCGCTCAGTATATTTGCAGCCCGATCGTGAGGTATTCGATGCTACTGCTCTGGCTCTGGACGCCTATGCGGAGTCGTTGGGTCTACCGGGCGCTCCGCGGATGCCGTTTTTATCAAAAATGAAGGACGAGCATGAAAAAAGAGGAAACGAAGCTTTACGCGAAGAACTTCGTGGAAAGAAGAATGTCAATCGGAAGCTGCAGCAACTAAAAGAAAAGATCAAGGCAGAGAAGGAGCGCAAGCGATTAGCGCGGCAGCTGGTGGCTCTAAACCCTACAAATAAGGAGGTGGCCAAGAACATTATGGAAAAGAATGAAAAGGTGGAGGAAGACGACGAAGACGAAGACTCACTGATGGTTGTCAAACGGGTACATCACTGGGACGATGAATCCGAGCCACTTGATAAAAACGTGCTTGTTCGGAATAAGAAGAAGCAGAAGAAGTTACGCGTAGACCCTGAGGTCATTAACGCGTCTAAGATCGTATTCGATGAGGATGGCAATGGTGCCAGAGTAGCAGATCGTCTTGCAGCGCGTTTTGGCGGCGAGACTGAATTCGCAGATGTGGAGCAGCATGCTAAGGCGTACACGGAGCAGGTAGCTGCTCGTCTCGCCGCCAAGGACGCAGAAGATCGTCGTTTAGAAAAGGAGCGTGTGCGAGCTAAACACCATAAAAAGCGCTTGAAAAACAAGGGCGAGCGCGGACACGAGAGCGAAGACGAAGGCGCGTGTCTTGTGGTGGATTCTGACGACGAAGACATGAGTGACAAAGAGGTCAACAATAGCAACGACGAAATGGCTGACAGTAGTGACGATGACGACGATAATGTTAAAAAGAACAATATAGACCGCCAGGCTGTCGCTAGACAGGAAGAAGTAGCATTGCGCTTGCTACAGTGTCGGTAAATAAAATAATCTAGATTCACTGAATGATAACTGATTTGCTAGAATGCGATTTTCTGGAAAAAGACCTAGTCAACTCATTGCATGACGGGTGCCACTTGCAGTTCTGCCAAATATCCAATGCACCGCCGTCAGAGCGGAATGCGTGAGCCAAAGAAATCTAATACGGCGGCAATGAGTCATCCGCGTCACCGGCGTATTCGTGCTGTGGCCATGATTCTCGACGATGTGCTATACGATCACTCGAAGCTTTTGTCGCACCTGGCCATTGAGCGTGGCATCGCTCAGTTACTGGCAGAGGATGCATTTCTCACTGCTGCTGCCGCTTTTGAAGCGCTGCAAACCTTTCGTAACGCATATGGCCTTCGAAAACGCTTTCCTCGCTTTGTCGATAGCCTCGTTCAATCTAGATTATCGCCCATCCAGGCACAACGCGTCATTAAAGCTTACTATGAGAGTAATGTACCTGAAGCACAAAGCATAACGCCTTTTCCAGGCGTACGCAAGGCGCTTTTAAATATTTTACGGGATGGAGAAGTGTGCCAATTAGCCCTTTTGTTGATTGGCAAACCCGATGTCCAGCGTGCACGACTGCAAGCGCTCGGAGTCGACGATTTATTCCATCAAATCGTCCACATCAATTCTAACCCGAGCCTGGCTCAGCTTATAAGCGCTGTGGAACAGCTTGCTAGACAACTGCAAGTACCTCCGTCTGCTGTCATGTTCGTGGGTCGCAAAGCCTTCTACGAGATTAAGGCGGCAAATACTGTTGGAATGCTAACTGTTCGCATGGTGCGTATCACTGACGGATGAGGTGCCTAGTGCGGGTGCCACGATCGCTAATCCATCTGCTTGTATTTTAGCATTTTGGCAAGTATGCGAGTGTGATGCCTACAGATGAGATGGAACAATCAAATTATCAAGTAAGGGTATTTTATTGGTGGCCTTTGTTAGGAGACTCAAGCAAGTTGCCCTTCGAATCCTAGATTGAGTCAATTGAGCAGCTTGTGCCGATTGTTAAGTTGGCGAACCAGCAAATATTGCAGCCTAAAATTGTGGCGATTGGAGGCGGCACAGGTTTGGCTGTACTGCTAAAAGAATTGCGTCACTATCCAGCAGAACTAACTGCTGTCGTCACAGGTATGCAACAACATTGTTCGTACATTAAATAGAACCTACAAGACTAATACTTTCCATAGTGTTCGATTCGGGTCGCCACTCTGGTTCTCTTCGCAAGTGCCTTGGAATTCTGCCACCCGGAGACATTCGCAATTGCCTTGTGGCACTATCTGACTCGGGTTCGTGAACATTTATCTCGTAAAACTTTCTGTATGAAGTTCTTACAATTGATTATCATGCTAAGATGAGCTCATGAGCAAGCTGATGAACTATCGATTCCAAGAAAATTTCATGGAAGGTTGCAGCTTGGGAAACCTGCTTTTGGCAGCGCTGACAGACTTACAAGGTGGTTTTGACCGTGCAATCTCTACCATTTCCGACATTCTCAAAATTAATGGTTCAGTACTACCAGCCACTCTTGAAAGCACTGAGCTGTGCGCCGAGCTCATGGATGGTTCTGTTGTTACATCGGAGGTCAATGTTCGTAGCCCCTTTATGCCGGACGATGATGCTGAGTCTCGTTCGGAATTTAATTTGTCAACAAGCAGCCCGAGCGAGATGCCATCGGCAATGCTCTCGAAGCCCGCAAAAGAAAGAGTTAGAAAAGCACCTATCAAACGCGTGTACCTACAAAACCAAAACGTTGAGGCTTATCTGCCAGCGGTCCGTGCGATCGAGGATGCCGACATCATAATTCTAAGTCCCGGTGGTTTCTATACATCCATTGTTGCTAATTTGCTGGTGCCAGGCATTCGTGATGCCATTGTACGAAGTACAGGTGCTACAGTGTACATCAGCAACGTGACTACGCAGAATGGTCAGACAGACGGCTATACCTTGGAAAAAACATTAGAGGAGCTCTCTAAGTATCTTGGTGCGAATGCGATTGATTATGTAATAGCGAACAACACGAAGCCACCGAAAGATACCATTGCACCGTACTTGGAGCGCGGGGAAGAACTTTTGCTGCCTACACCTGGAATGACAGCAATGAAGCATCCTGTGCTGATTCAAGGCCAGATTTATCAAGAAAATCTGGCAGCTGGTCGTGTTGTGCGCGAGTGGAACAAAACACCTATGCTCAAGCACAGCGGCAGCCGCGTGGCCGCTATTCTCTATTCTATCATTGACAAGGAGATGGCACACCACCGTCAGGATCATCAATCGCAGATTGGTGCATCTCGGACAGAACTAAACAATTTGGAGCAGTCGGTTACTATAGCGCCTGTCATAGTTTGCGGGGTGTTGGCAGTCACAATACTGCTAGCGTCCGTATTCCATCGTAGGTGACACATACCATGCAATAAAGTCAACAACTGTATCACGTGTGCAGCCTGAAAACGCACGATCACTAGCATATACGCTTTGCAAGCATGACTCATCCGTTCCTTTGCACACAAAAATTTGGACACTCCAAGCCTAAGTCCGCAGCACTGATGAGACAGAGATCGAAGATGACGCACTTGGTGTAGGAGAAGATGACCTAGAAGAGCCTGTAGGTTTCTCTTCGAAGCCATGATGTGAAACAGTATACTCAGAAAAAGCTTGCGTGGCGATGAACAACGTTCGAAACTCGCGCATGTCGGGTGTCGAGGCGGCTAAATAGCTTGCTTCATCGAAAAAGACTGTGCGTTTGCGCGCAAACTCGTCTGTCCAGACATAGCGGTGATACCCAAAATCACCTATCAGCTTGTTCACAGCACGATGAAATAAACCGCGGACAGCAACTTCTGGAAAAACCAGAGGCTTGCTTGGAAAGTGGTGAGCAAATACATGGTCACAACGACTGACATTTGGCTTAAGACACTCATATAGAGCTTCACGTAGATGAAATCGCACGCTCTGAGGAAGAGCACACGGAACCTCACCTCGTAAAATAGCTCCTTTGTCCAAATCTACGACCAATAATTCCTCTCCGGCTGCAGCGAAGAAGTCGTCGCCACCTTCATCCTTGAGTTGGCGCTGGGCACCATCGAGCGCTTTCTTTTCGGCACCGAAGATAAAAGGCGTCGGGCACTCTAGATACTGCAGCATTCGACGAGGAAGCATAGGTAGATACACGTGTGGCCACGAAAGGGGGTGCATTAAAGCTCGCAAGGACTCACCGACCTTCATGAGTACTGATAGATATGACGATACCAGTAGAATGCGGTTTTCCAACAGTGCTGCAGTAAATACAAGAAGAACTGTTGAAATGTCTAGTGTATCAAACAGAAGACGCACTGAGTGATCAAGACGCGGAAGCGCTGCAAGCAATGAAGCAGCTGTGGCTTTGGGTGTTAAACCTGATGCCTCAAGAAGTGGTGACTCAGGAAGCGGTGATGGCTGGTGGTATTGTGAGATGTCTTCTTTAGAAATGGAACGAGTCAATTTCGCCAAAACCTTTTTATCGAGGCGAAATGGTTGTCCACCACTCTGAAATATTCTTTTGCCATCAGTTTTGGAAGCAGCAATCGTTTCAAGCTCCAGATTGAATTCGTACGCCTCAGCCAGACGCTCACGAAGTAAATCTACCATCGGAAATTTTGACAGCACGCACACCCCGTACGGCACCCATCGACTTCCACTCGCCAGATCAATCCGCGAACTCTCAAGCGCGCGCCGGGAAAGGGGGGGTGCTGGTTTATACAGAATTACACAAGCTGCAAACAATTCAGCAGCAGAGGCACCAGCACTACTGTCCCCCATACGGAAATTAAACGCCATAGGTGCCGGGCAAGACGGCGCCGTAAGTACTACATGCCTAGGATTTTCACTCCAGGGAACAAGAAAGTGCTCTATCGACTTGTCTACGACGTGAGGCACGGGATCATGCGGTAACGGATGCTGTATTATGTGCAGTTCAATTGGGTCTTTAAACACGCCACTGATGTTGCTGTCACTACCGTTCTCATCATCGACTGTCACGGAGACGGATATGGCTTCGAAGGTAAGTACGCCAGATATGGCTTCAAAACTTCGTGTAGTACAAAGAGAGTCCAGCGTTTTCTTCTTTGGCAATGTGGCCTCACCATCGTGAACATTAGGCAATGAAGCTGACAATGATCCATTTAATGACGAAGAGTTTGAAGCGCCGCCACACCAATGATGAGCACGCAAGCCATAGCTCAAGAGTAGTGCTGACAGCCGCCAAGAATCGTCGATGGAGTCTTTTTCATCTTCAGGAGATAACTTTGGGTATAACGCAAACTCGGCATATGCACGACTCGTCAAAAAGCGGTGGTACAACTCAAGATGGATGAGACTAAATTTGGTCAGTATTGCGTCTTGTTCGGCTTGCAACCGAGCGCAGGACGTCACCAGCGTACGCGAAAGATTTTGCATCTCAGCGTCTCCCGCATAATATTTTTGAGAAATATATTTAAGCAACTTTCGACAACGATAGGCAGCCTGCTCAATGCGCTCGCGACGCTCGCTACTGTTGAAGCTGTTAGATAAAGCACCGCTCCTTGAGTTTTTACTAGACTTAAGCAGCGCCATGTAAGTACGAAAAGCTGGTTTGAATTCATATTCGACATCTAGCCACAATGCGATTTCCCGATGATAGTTGTGTGGAAAAAGGAATATCCAGAAGAAATTGGCAAAGCGGTGGTTCATTAAAATGTCTTCGAGGCATATCACTTCACGTTCCACGGTTTTCTGCATTTCTGTATAAAGTTCCGTGCCGCGAAATTCGGGAAACTTTAACATGAGCACCCGTTTGACTTTTACCGCAACATCGTCAAACGTGCGTAATGCATCTTCACCTCCAGCAGCCAGATCACGCTTTATCGACCGTAGCTTAGCACCGTCTACGATCGGGTATTCGTCGCAGAAATCCTCTGAGCCATTTATTGGAAATTGCGCTTTCTTTGCCAAATATTTCATAGCAATTTTCACGCCATACGTGCGTAGCATGAGTACGTCATCTTTTGCGAACGGCTTATTTTGATAGTTGGCGCGCAATGTACACCAAAACTGCCGGTACTCTTCAAATGAGCACAAGAAAAATAATTTACTTTGGTCGACAGGATCAGGAAGCCACGCCGCATAGTATCGCATCATGCGAGGGTTGCTTATCACTTCCTCAATGGATATTAATGTCGTTGGATCGGGAGTAGCTTTGTGCGTTGGAACAGCAAAATGCTGTTGATGGCGCTGCAAAACCTCGTCCTTAAAGGCACGCTGCATCACTTTGCCAAGGTTATGCTGGTACTGATCTTGCATCCATCGATTCCACTTCTGGAATTTTGCACTGCCATTCGATGGCTGCCCGAAGAATGACAACGGAGGATATGGTGATGTTGTAGTTGCAGCTGATGAGACTCCTGTCACAGCATGTAAGTCATTACTGCTCATTCGCGCAAGAATTTGCTTCTGTTTGTTCGCCCAAATTTCCGCTGATGACGGAATCGTACTCATCGTGTCATTACTAGTCGCAGCAGCACCATTCTTATTGCCTGCTACTGTCGCATAAAGAAAGCTCCGCGCTTTAAGTTTGACATGCTGCGCCCATCGAGATTTAGCGTTCCCAAGCTTAACATCTTGCTCTTCTTCTTTTATACTGGTAACCTCATAACTATTAGCGTCTTCATCCGACTCACTTAATACTTCTGTCAGCTCCCTTGCACTCAATTCACGTTCAGGTTCAAAAAAATCCGTCTCATACAATATTTGTTCAGAAATTGTGCTCCTTCGATACGTGCTTCGACTCGAAAGCGAGAAAGCTAAACTGTCTCTAGAATGCCTTGATAGAGCCATTGACTCTCGTTCGCTTACAGTCCCAACAAGGCTACCTTTTAAAGTTGACCGTATTTGATGTGGCAATAAAAATTCATCTTTGTCCGTATACAACGACGAGCTTAATGCACTTGCCATACTCTCTCTTATCACTTCTTCAGCCGAGATCGTACTATCTGGTGGCAGCGGTGGACTGATATCCAGCGAGGCTACAACAAGATAAAAATACAAAATACAACATCATGAGTCCCAGTATTTACTGCTGTCCACCATTGTCAACATACAAGCTCTTCTAAATCGTTCAGCACCACAAGTTGAATCTCCAAGCATGTTCCTGGTCAATCTCCCACCATCTGACATATCGTCTTCATCAAAACTCATGGCTCGAGCATGAGCATCCACTGACTGTCGAGCTGTATCAATGTCCATCATCAAAAAGCTGGCATGGCTTCGCAAAGCCGACGATGAAACGGGCACGCCCGCACCAGCGCGAAAGCTTGAACCAGCACTATTTAGACGAAACGAAGAGCCTAATCCACCACTTTGACCAAAAGGATTTAGTCCTGATCGACTGAGACGACGCCCATTGCCAACTACTTGGTCAGCGGTCCCGGTGCGTCGAAGTTCCATGACATCGCTAGATAAAAGCGTATCATCTGTATTGTCAAGGATCCTCTCAGAGTCAGCAGTCGACAGCATGTTCACACTAAGAACGGCACCACTACTGCGACTTCGCCGTCGAGGCCGTGTGCGGACATTTGCGCGCTCACAGTCGTCGCCCATGATGCTACGCGCTGCCCGCGCTCAGCTTTGTAAAAAATATAATATTTAGTATTCAGAATATTGTACAAATGGACAGAATGTCTGTGTAAGTATTTTTTCAACCAGATCAGATTTCCGTTCTCCCAGTCTAAGAAATCGACTGCCATGAATGACCGTCGAGTAGATGCCGCGCAGGACGCCGTTATTAAAGTTTTAGTGCTAGGTGACGCCGCTACTGGTAAGACGAGTATAATTAAAAGGTACGTGATCTCTTAAATCTTCATCCAGCACACTACCTGATTGCTACCCTTTTAGATACGTATACGATGCTTTTTCGGAGCACCACCGCACCACGATTGGTGTGGACTTTGCACTCAAGCCGGTAACGGTAAACGGAACAACAATTCGTATGCAGCTGTGGGATATTGCTGGACAAGAACATTTTCGGGCGCTTAACCGGGTGTACTACAAAGATGCATTGGGAGCACTGCTGGTGTACGACATGTCTCGCCCGGAGACGTTTGATAGCATCTTAAAGGTGAAGAACAAAAGATGAGATGACTGCATATAAAATTCGTTGATTTATCTTTTGTGTGATGGTTATGCAGTGGAAAAAGGAGATCGATTCCAAGGTGGAGCTTCCAAATGGCAAACTGCTTCCAGTAATTTTGTGTGGCAACAAGGTAAACGATTACTGCTCATTGAGTTAGAATCATTCAGTAATTGGTATCGTTTGGAGTGAAGTGCGACCTAAAGGATGAAGTGGATCGGACTTTTCTCGATGAGTTCTGCGAAACGAACAGTTTTAAGGGCTGGTTCGAAACATCCGCCAAGGAGAACATTCACATAGATGATGCCGCTAAAGCGCTGGTGACGGGCATTCTTGAGCATCAGGAAATTTTCGAGCGAAAGTCTAACGCAAAAAAGCGTGATGACACCTTCCGTCCCACATCTTCGGCTAATGGAGTCAACGCAAGCCAATTCGATTGGTGTTGCAGCAGTTTCTAATCACTCATGTTCTACTTATGTCGTCCGGATGTGACAACTACTTGACAATCGTCTTCATGCATTTCAGCTGGATTAGGAGACGACTATTTTCAGACTAAATAGTTTTCGTTAAACTGTGCGAAGGACTTGCTCCTTTTGAGATTTACTTGATGCTGCTTTCTATGTCAACAAATCGTCGTTTTTTGTTGCTTCCTGAGTAAGAGGCCCGCCTACTCTTAGTAAAGTGGTTTGGGAGGAAACCGCTAGACGTGGCCGGAAAACCACGTATCGCCATGTTTCTGTGCACCCTTTGAAGTTCACTCCGCCCTGTTTCGAGCTTTTCATATAATTCTTGCTTATATACCTCTGCTTGTTCTAATTCGTCCTCCAATTGGATCATTTCCTGCTCTCGTTCATCACGACGGTGATTTGTGAATAAGGCCGTTATATCGTTAATAATTTTCTGAACTTTTGCTTCAGCATCTGGTTGCTCTACCTCCATAAAGTCGACAGAGCGAATCAATCGGCGCTCATCCATTCGCAAGCAGTATTCACAAAATTTACTTTGAGCGTGAGCTTCACAATCGGATAGATGGGCAAAGTGGTGCTCGACTGCTCCGCACATTGAATGCTTACAAATCTTAAGATCAAGATGATGCTGAAGGTGGTCAAGTATGGACTTGCAATTCAGTAAACATCTTTGCGCTCTAGAAGGAGCACAAAAGCAGGCGTCCACAATGGCATAACCTAACTTAAGCACTTCATCGAACTTTCGTTGCGCCACCTCACCGCTTTCTCCTCTTTCAGACTTAGCTCGTAAAAGCTGATTGATGAAAGTTGCGTTAAAAGTAGACGTCCCGGGTATGCTGTCGTTTTGTGCGCTCGGCGACTGCTTTGCACGCCTTATCATTTCTAAAACACAATCAAGTGAAAATTTACACGAGATTATCAGAAGAACTAGCTTATTAAACATTCTTCCTTTCTCAAAACGAATACTCGAGCCAAAATTGTTACCTTCGGAAGAGACTGTATCAGATGGGATATTATCACCCATTTCCAAAGGTGGTGGTTCTACCTTGATGTTCACATCGTCGCTTAAGTGCCACTGATACTTAGGAAAGTTAAATATTGGAATGCAGCTCTCGCTGGCTAGCTGGTTGAGTCGATCACTTTCCGCAAATAGGTATTTCACGCGCTCAGTCATCGTTTGAATGCTTCGCAAACAGGAATTGCGAGTGGCTTCGATCTGTGAGGTTCGAAGCACACGCTGTTGGTCACTTATTAAGTGGTTCAGCGCTGCACAGACTCCAAAGCTTCGTCTTTGTCGAATACGAATACAAAAAGGGCACACGGACTTTTTTCCATCAGGCTTCAATTTGGACGCGCAATTACGATTGTGTATGTATATGGTTGAGATCTCTGAACATTTGGAGTCTCCACACATTTTGTCGCGCTTACAATGCTCGTAGTGCAAAAGCACAGAGCGACATTGTGGTTCTTGACAGTTTCCAATACTCGCGCATATAAGTGCATCCTCAATCGCCAAAGCATCCTCGATTCGCGATGCTAGCGTCTCCATAAGCATGTGATCAGGTGAAGGAAAACAGCGCAGTAAATCTTCCAGGGTTTGTGTCTGAGACGTTGTCTTTGTTTGCTTATAAACAGATGAAGTATCAGCAGACGCTCGAGTAGAAGTCGAGGCCGATAAAACTTGATCATGAATAAGGGACAATGGAGTAAGACCAGGTACAGAGCCTACGTAAGCAGCATCGGTGTTAATAACACTGGTTGATCCATGCGTTGGAAATTGTAACAAGTTTCTGGAAACCGGTACAGATGTTTTCGAAAGAGGCTTTGACTGTGCAGTTGCAGAAGCCGAAGACTGTGAAGGCGACGACAAATACGAAGGAAGCGGCTTTTTATGGTCTTCATGCTCACCGGAAATTAACTTTTCTTCCTTTTTTGTACCTACAGTTCCCGACGCCAAAGCTTTCTCTTTTGCCTGAGTGGTACTTACTGCTGGCATATTTTGTGTAGGTAGACGATTTGCCTTTACGTCTTGTTTATCTCGTTCGACACTTATCAAAACATCGTCTTCGTCTATGCGCAATGAGTTTTTCGCCATTGCAAACTCATAGCCTTTTTCTGGTATCTGATTCTCTTTCACTCTCTGGTTCCTGTTTACTAGCTCAGTTTCAGTGCTCTTTACTGTTGGTGAGCCGTTCGCCTTCATCTCTTTCTCCTCCATTGCCACTGCTAATGGAGTATAATCTTCATCAATAATAATCAATTCTTGATCTTGAAGGTTCAGTGAATCTAAATCTGTATGAATTCTGGTCGTAGCTTTAGATTCGCCATTTGTCACTGCACTTCCCTGAGACCACACAAGGAACGGGAGTGTCTTTCCATAGTTGCTCGTAAGTTGGTGGCTGCGCGCGAAGCCACGGGAATGCCACAATATGGAGCATCTGGAGCACAGTGTTTTTTCCTTACGCGGGTCGCACATCGAACATTTAAATAGCCAGGCCGCCGAGCGGCACCAGCTACAAAGGAGATCATCGGTGGCGGCCATTATTGTTATTTCTGCAAATTCAAATAAAGTACACAACATGAAATTAGGTTTACTATAAAAAGTTCCTTCAAGGTGAAGGAAGAAGTTGCTTTTGCTTTGACATTCACGAGCATGTCATGTGCACTTAACGAGGGACACCTGCTGTGCAATTTTGAGATGCAAAATATGCATACACATTACATACAAAAAGGATTGATGTGACAGCTTGATTGATAAAGTAAACTCAGCACGAAAACAAACCAAACTTATTTTTTTTAGTTCGCTTGCGCTTTCCTGATTCTTTTCTTTACCAACTCTCCTTGATCTCCGTAACACTTGTACAACAGCAGCTAGATCAACCTGGCAATGGTCCGGCTGCACACAAAGAATCAATCATGCTTGATGCTTGCGTTTTTTCGTGAAGAGATCGAGATTCTTCTACTTCTAGCGTGCTCTAAGTGGCGTACTTGGCAGTCCACTCGCGAGCGGTAGCGTCATGACGTGCGCGATCTGTTCTGTATATTTGCGCAATTTCGGGTACCAGTGGGTCGTCTGGATTAGCGTCAGTGAGCAGAGAGCAGATCGAAAGAAGCACCTTAGAGATTGTCAGAGCGGGGCTCCACTGGTCTTTCAAAATATCGAGACAAATACCGCCGTTGGCATTAATGTTGCAGTGATAAATGCGTGTCGTAAAATTGACCTTAGGTGGCTTGAACGGGTAGTCAGCCGGGAAGTAAATGTTCAAAAAGTAGACACCGCCTGCGTATGGGCTGTCTTCGGGGCCCATGATGGTCGCCTGCCAGTGAAACAAGTCGTCGCCGACAGGGCCAGCACTGCAGTTTGCAGGTGGGTCACGGCCCAGGTCCTGTAACTCTTTATTGATTCGCTTCAGAGCCATGTCTTCAAAACTAGTCCTTCACTCTGGGCTTCTGGCTCCGCTGTTCTGCTTCCTGCAACGAAAGGAAAATGATAACAGGTCGGCGGGGGCGAGGGGGAGAAAACCCCATCGCGCAACTCTCCTAAAGTAAACTAGAGAGCTAAGCGGGCAGTTGCTAAATACGGGTCTTCTGGAAGTTTTTCTTCTTAACTTATGACCTATTGCTTATTATTGGTCAAAACCGGCAATGGATAGCCTCCGTCGATTCGACGGCGTTTGCCATGTAAGCATGCGAGTAATCGCGCAGATATACTCAGTTCGTGATAGCAAAATGTGGTTCGTCTCTACGTTGAGCATGGCTCTTTGGCTATCGTATGCGTCCATTTTTTTTCTTTCGTCGGTTATTAAGGTGAAGAAATAAAGGCAATATCTATTTGCATAAATACCATAGTAATCATTGCCAAATTGGATATTCGGTACTTAATCGTCACTGCGCCCTGGTGTTATGTTGCAGTTGTGATGTGGCTTCACCCACTTGTTCTTGATGGCGTTATTGTCGTGCAGATCAGCAAAATAGGTTTTGGAATTTTTTGAC